TGAGCTGTATCACCATAATTAATTAATGGGGCCCTATCATTTTAATTGGAATTTCTCACATGGTCACAGCTCAGCACTTCTGCTGTGTTAGCAGCCACTCTTTTTCTTTTGGTGCTGAAGTTGAGCCAGTGCGGTAATAAACATGCTGCTTGTCACTGAGCTACACTCCAACCCTGCTTTGTAGTAACAGAGTGTCTTGGCAAGTAAGGGAGAGTGACTCTGGTCCTTGTCGTGGAAGACTGAGGGTCAGCGCCACCTTCAGGCACTGAAAAGCATAGTTTCCACCGCTTTTCTGAATGTCCGTTTCCTGGTTAACTGTCTCCTTTGCTGCAGTTCTTAGTCTCGGTATCCTTTTCTAAAAACTTTTCTAGGACTCTGATTTGACAGATACCCGACTACTGAAATGCACGAAGTAGATGGAGATGCTTTTCATTGGAAAAAAGGAATGAATCTAAAAATTTCTACTTTTATCATTAAACTTAATGAGAAGTAAGCAAATTTTGAAGATGTAAGCATGCTGAAATAAACAGCCTGATCTCTTACTCCTCTATCCTATTATAGCAGTCTAGGTTAGAAAAATAATACAACAGCATAATATACTGTACAATATGTCTCATCTTCGGTACGGATTCTCAAGTTATTTTAGCTTCATTTTTATTAGAACATAGTTTGCCTATTTTAAGATGTAGATATGGAAAGCCGTAATTAATACTTTGAAGCAGTGATGAATAAGGCATTATGAGCATTTACTCGTTTTCTCCCTATTCCTTTCAGTTTTGTTCGCTATCAAATAAAGTAGCCCTGCAGGTTTCTAGGCCTTTCTCCGCAGCTCTCAGCCAAAACAGACGTACTGAGTCCTTTCTCAGCCTCTTAACATTCTGCTCCAGCAGGGCAGGTCTTCCGGTATCTCGCACATACCGGGCCCGCCTCTGCCTTCACACGCGTGCCTTTCTCGTCCAGCCCTCACCACCTCCGTTAAAACTCCTCCCGGGGCTTGCTGTGAACCAGAAAGCTGGGCGGGGTCTCTGCTGGGTGTTTCAGAGCATCTTTCATACATACTATTACGCTACATCGTGTGCTCAACCGTATGACTTCTTTACCGGCTTGTCATGTTCCCCACCTGCCTCTCATCTGGATGGTACTGTTGGTTGATTGAAAGTCCTATTAATAAAGCCACATCAGCCACTCACTTCCAGTAAATGTGCTGTCCTATCCCTTGCCAAAAGTATACTTCAGTAAAAATTCTTTCAAATTGCACAAAGAACTTTTTAGTGTTCGATGCCAGTGACCACGGTAAATGTATTTTCAAATCTGCCCATTTAATGGGTATTCAATGCTTTTACTCACATCTGAAACTGAGGGAGATTTTCAGAGGGCAATGCCAGAGCCAGATCCAGAAATTTGCAAGCAGAGAGATAGAGGTTTAACCACCGCTGGCTGTTATATGAAGTGGAAAAGCCATTGCCTCCTGTATAGGTGGTCTCCAGACCAGCTACAGAGGGGCCTGAAGTCCTGTAAAATAAAAGATGGCACTGTCAGTAGCTGGACCCATTTGCTTCATGAGAAATTCCAGGAACATCTGAACCACCAGCCAGTAGTTTTTAGTCATTCTGATTAGTGTACCAATAATTGTTGCTAAATTACTGGTCATGATACTTAATTTTGCTATGTCAAAAAAATTCATGTTTCTCTGTAATTTTAAGAATGTGAAAATAACATATTCAGTAAATATAGAGATAACAGTGTGACTCAGAAACCTTGCTACTATTAGTTTTTTTTTTGCAAACATAGGCAGACTGGATAATAAAAAATACAGTTATTAGTGCAGGAGACTGTAAGACACGTGTTCTTAAAGGAACTTCTCTTCATAAATTTAGATAAAACTTCATGTATAAATTAGGTTTAGTCATAAATTAATAAACTACCCAAATGAAAAATAAAATTGTAGAACATTACATTTTGAACATGAAAAGTAAAACGGTAGCACATTACGTTTGGAACGTTCTGGATCTGGATACCTTGGCTGCAGGCTGCCTCCTGTACCACGTGTTGCTGTCTACCAATTATAAGGGACCAGACAGTGACCGTTATCAATACGGCTTGTGTTGCCGAAACAGTACGATATTGAACGGGACTTGTGTCTAGAGGCCAACGCCCGTAACAGCTAGTATTTTAATCCAGTCTGCCATGTTTCAGGACTAAGTGAAATTACACTACATCTAAATATGATCAGTTGAACAATGGACTTGAAAAATAGTATGTACACTCTCTTAGTTGCTCAGTAAAATTCTAGGTAATTTCAGGTATTAAAAACTGCTAAGAACATAATGAAATAAATTACATGTTACCGAGAAATATCTTCATCAGCAGTGAGTTCCTGCTCCATCAATAAAAATACCTGTACCTGAAGGACATTAAATGTTAAATGTTACCTTTAGGCTATAGTTTCATTATTACAAAAACAAGTTTTAAGATACGTATTCAGGATTTTTCCATCTGTTTCTGAAAGGAAGACAAAGTTTAGCAGCACAGGGCCTTGCTAGTCACTTGGCAGAGGCCTGGGAGACCAAGGCGGATTTTTGTTTTTAGTGATGATGGAACAGAGTCACGGCACATGGCTTTGTGAGGAAATGAGAAAGTCAGATTCCAGAGACGGACTCCTTCCCCTTTTCCTACTTGTCATTTTTTGCTGAGTTCCCAAGTCATTCCTGTGGAGAGCTTGAGGATGGCTGCGCAGATGAGGTCACCGCGAGTGCGCGTGGACTTGGGGGAGCTCTGCTGATCCGAGTCTAGCGAGCTCTGGGAAAGGCGAAAACTCATCTAACGGGGGCAGGGGCTGCACTCAGCAGTGACCATGCCTTACGCCGGTGTTAGGTTTCTATGGCAACTGTCCCCACAGATCGCAGGCACTCAAAGGTGGGGCTTTTGGAAAGTCACTGGGTCTGAGGGGTGCGACTGCTGCCTTGCTGGCAGGAGGCGGGGTGCTGGTCAGAAGAGAGAGGTCCCTGGGGATGTGACCTAGAAGGGTGTGTCTCTATCCCTGGCCCCGCCCTTCTCTGCTTCCTGACTGTCCCGACACTAGCAGCTTTCCTCTGCCAGACCCTCCCAACCGGCCCTTTCTGCCTTGGAGCTGGCCAACTTTGGAAGGAAAATGTGAGCCAAAATAAACCTCTCCTTGAAGTTACAAGTGTCAGGTGTTTTGTTTCAGCAGTGAGGAAAGTGCCGCAAGAGAGCCAGCCATTAAAACCCAGCTCCCCCATCTATCACTAGAGGGACGACGGCTAAAAGGAGAACCAGACCTGTTGACACCGACAAGTTAGAAGTGTGCAGAAGACACCAAGCGCTAAACCAGAGTGGATGAACTGTTTCCTGTGCAGCTGGCCCTCTGCCATCCATAATTCAACATTTAAGAGCTTACTGTAAGGAGATGGAATCTGACTCATTTATTTACAACCCTAAAAACTCTTAGTACATGAACTGAATTTAGTTCTCTTTCAAGATTAGTTTTAGCCAATAAACAGGGAAACTAATCACAGTGTTTCACAGTTCAGACTGTAACCTGACAGAATTAAAATTGACTCACGAGTTCTGTGATCATGGTAGGCCAGAGTGAGGTAAGATGTTGTGGAGACATTCTTAAAAGTAATACTCTGAAAAACAGGAACACTTGAGAGTGAAGAGTTGGCACCTGGGGCAAACGGAGACTTTCAACCAATCTCTCTGCAAGAAATGCAGTATATTTTCATTGCTGAAGTATTTTGATTCATTATCATGTACTTTCTATCTACCACAGTAATTCTCAAACTATCTGTAGTAAAGAACTCCTTTAAAAAATTCCAACCTGTTGGAGACTGATACACCCACACAATAAAAATTACGTGAAAGTTACAAATACTATCATTTTCTCATTAGATGCAGTCGAGTCTATCAAATGCCATATGTTTACTCTAAATTTCTGTACTTGTCATGGGTAGGAGAAGAGCTGGGCACTGGTCCATGGACCACACTTTGAATATGTATGTTGTATTCCTACAATTAGGTACATTACGAAGGGAAAGATGACTCACTGGTATTCTGGGAGAAGAATCTCATGAGGGACAAGGCAGCTATCACCTTAGCACGCAGGTTCCTGATGCTGGAGGCTGCACAGTACAATGACTGGACAGAAAATCTTTTCTTTTTCCATTTTGTTAGTGTGTGTTTGCAGTACATTCATTGTGGGGAGTTGGCACATGTACACAACACTTCCAAATTATTTTTTTTTCTTTCCTTCCTCTATCCTTCCCTCTCCCCCACCTCCCTCCATCTCCAGCGTAACATTCATCCCCACCACTGTAAAGCTGTTTGGTGGTGTGGGCTGCGGAGTGCACTGCATTCTTCTGGACACAGGAGGTCACCAAACCCATTTAACAAAGGTGATCAAAAGCCTTATACATCTCCCACACATTCTCTAATTATACCCTCCAAGTGTTTCCGCAGCCACAGCTTACGGGCGCTGCCTACGTCTGTCCTCTCCCAAAGGGCGTATAACTTCTTGTCCAGAACGCAGGCACAAATGTGTCTGTCCACAGTGAAATACTCATGTTACCCTCTAACGTGATCCTAAGGACCGTGAGCCATGCGATAAAACAGAGACCATATTTAGGTGAGTCCTACAAATTCAGGGCTGGTTTCCTTTACATACTGGAGATAACTTTTGTAGTTTCAGTAGAAAAACTTCTGATTATATACATGGTATGTTTCACGCCAAACTACAATTTAGGGGAAATATTTTGTAAGAAACAACAATAATCCCTGTAGTTCAGAAGACAGACTGAAAGAAGGATTTGACTGCTTACCTTGTATATCAGGTAGGTATTTCTGGTATTGGTCAATTTCACTGCTAAAAATAGCAAAGGCCAGTCTTTTGAGAAGCATGGCTCTCTGTTCCAGCTCCACGTCTCTGTTTGCAAAGAGATTCAGTGAACTGCTTTGAGCCACAGCAACTCGGGCTAAAGAACACAAGCGAGAGAGATGACGACGCACACAGTCATTCAGTCACCTGTAGATGACTCTGCTACTTGTTTTTAAAAGTGGGCAGATGCCCAGTAACACTCAGAGGTGAGAAGAACTTTGGAAGAGGCCACACGGCCACTCTGGCACCGAAGGGCTGGCAAACAGCACACAGGTGCCAGGAGACCAAGGACTAGGGACTGTAATGCAGACACACAAACACTTAGAGCTGCGGGTTTTAGAAGATGAAATTACTGACACTATTTTATAAAACTCTTCAATGCTGTATGCCATCTGCTTAAATCCTGTGTAAAATACCACTTTCAGCATGGGCTAGCCTGGCCTCCCTACTTCTTCCTGTTGGTTCACTCCCCACTTCTCCGCTGTATACACCAGATTGTCTTCTTTGCCATCACAGGAATTTATCATGTTTGCTGCTACCCCGAGATGTTGGGAGTTTTTGTTCCCGATTCCTAGTATCTCATTGTTGCCCTCTTTACTTTCACATCAAATAGGAACTCTTTAGCTGTGTTTTAAAAATCTCGTATCACACACGGCCCCATTTCTTTCACAGTTTTTTATTTGCTGAAATCATTTCTATTTGACTGAAGTGAACATAATGCCTGGCCCACTGTTGTCTTTTAATGAATATTTGTTAAATGAATGAACTTGAAACTTAAGTTTATGAAGATGAGAAAAAGAGAAAAATAATGCCTTTATCCATAAGAGAAGACTAGCTTGGGCTACAGAATTTACACAAAGTTTATCAGGGTGTGGTGCTACGTGTCGTAATCCCAGCACTCAAGAGCTGAGGCAGAAGGACTGCATGCTCAAGCCTTGCCTGGGCAAATTAGTGACCTGGCAAGAACCTGTCTCAAAATAAAAATAATAAAAAGGGCTGGGGATATATTTCAGTGTAAAAGCCCTGGATTTAATCTCTGTACTGCAAAAAATCAAACCAAACCAACCACATAACACAAAGTCCTATAGAGACAGACAATTTCATTGCATTTCAGTTAGTTTAGCAACTTTCAAATTGCTTTAAAAAAAGAAAAAGTCAAAAGTATTTTCCCTCCAGAAGAATATTAAGTGGAACTGTAATATATAAAGTCATTGAGATTAAGTACAAAGGTATGTAGAAGGCGAGTCTGACCTTTTTGGCCCCTCTCTTCCTTCCGTCGGAGGAGAAAAACAGCCCCAGAGCTCTGGTGACTTGCCTCATAGGTCAGTTCCCACTGTCTGCCTTAACAACTGTCAGTTTTCATTCAATGATTATCTCTCGTGTGCCTACTCTACGCAAGGGGCAGTACTATGCTGCATTCTGACAATTTTGAGCCTATTTGGATACGAGCCCTTCCTTCCACTTGTGGCCCCAAAAGGATCGTTTTACTCACTGTTTTTCACTAAGGTGTCCATTGTAAGTTTTAATGTTATATTCCCATAGGGTTCGACATACATCTTCATAAGGAACAAAGCAAATAATAAGAATGAACCATGCACAGGAAAGACTCTGCCTGGACTCTCATCCCACAATACTCACTCATCAAATCTCTAAATGTTGTCTTATCATGGGTCATCAGATTGTCCATAATAGCTCTCCAGCTGTAGAAGAAAAGGATTATAATATGTAATTCTGTTCTTGTTAAAGCATTAGAACTTGGTGGGATAGCAGGTGACTTCAGTTGTCTCTGAGCTACTCTTTAAAAAAGAGTTAGAGAATCATCTAATGTGACAGCATGCAAGAGAAGGACTTACTGATTAACACAAGAGGCGTCCATCTGAAAGAAACTGGGGTCCATAAAGAGGTCAAAAGCTTCCTTCTTCCAAGCTCTCCGTGTGTACTGATACCCACTAAGACTGCTGAGCAGCTGGACACAGGCCCGGTAACTAGGGGCGTTATGTGCGCTGTAACGGAGAAAAGCGCCTTAGTCTGTTTTCTAGCTTCAGTCGCCTTACTGAGTTAGGTACGTGTTCATATTTACCTAAGACAATGACATGAAGGCATGAAATAGCACCATAAAAATACTGCACATTTGTGCTTAATTCCAAAAATGGCAATGAAGAAACAGAAAGGCTTCTAACAGGCTATGAGTTAAATCTATTTAAACTATAAACAGAAGTTGTTGCAACAGGCTATGAATTAATGTCAATCTATTTAAATCGTAATAGTACCTGTGATTTCGGAGGTAGGGCACAACATAATGCATAATGTTTACAAGTAAAGGGATAACTCGCTCCTTTTCATCACTATAGAAAACCATATCCAAAAGATGAGCCAAAATCTAAAACATGGAAAATGAAATGGAATAATCTGTGAGTAGAAACTGACATCACCTAGAGGTATTAATGCTCAGTTTGTAAAACTTAGAATACCTTAAAATGAGAAAAATCTAAACTGAGATCGCTCTAAATCACTTTTATATCAATGGTTTCTGCCACAATCTATATTTTCATCCATTATAGCAAAAGAGTGTAAATACAGACAGATTTTGCTATTTCCAACAGAGATAGGGAAGTATAAAAAAGAGTTAAAAGAACTTCTACTGTCACAGTTAGTAAACAGTGGACTTAAGACCACAAATGCAGTATTCTTTTCCCATTACTAGGTTGAAAGGAGGCTCGGAAAACCGTAAACAAATGAACTGGGCTGCTTAAGTTCCACCTCTGTCAACAGAACTATAGCGTCAGTACTAGTGTTCAAACTTCTATAAGACTCAGTACCCAAACGTCTAAAGGAGAGACAAAAAACGGCATATATCGATGCATAACGTATGAAAAACACCTTGGCAGAGAAAGTACAGAAAGACGTCGCCAACCTGTCAAATCCTTCAGAGTGGGAGCATCACTGCACCACCTCTACCCCTCCTTATCATAATGGAATGCAAAAGCGGTTTTATTTAAAAAAAAAAAAATTAAAAAAAAATAGTGTGCGGGGAGGGGTAACAATATCTAAACTTATTATCACTAATGTTAAACAAACAAAACAAAATACAGACGAGGCCAAAGTTTTGTATTTGTGAATTCTATACAGTGATTTCTAGAAATATAATTTTTCAAATGAAAACTTCTCTATAAGAATAATTTGCTCATATTTTGCTATCAAACTTTACTTACAAATTCTTATTTAAAAAAACGGCATAATGTTTACCTCGGAGAGTAAAGTCAGTGCGTGGACACTGTACACAGAGGGAGTGATGTGTGAGGTCTCCATGGCAGGGGACAACATATCTAAACATGAGGAGAGGCAGGTGAATAAACACCCTGGTTAGTCTTTTCCCACTCAAAAAAAGCTACTTGCTAATAATGAGCGAAGGGATGAATTTATGGTGCTCACAATGCTCAGAGAAATGAGTTATTATTTTATAGAAAACTAAATGCCTGAGAGAAATACCTTCAACATCAGATTCCAAATTGGTTCCATCTACCATTATTTTTGGAGACGGCTTAACTTCTAGATTCCGTCTCAACCATGTTGTCTGTTCCAGAGAAGAACCAGCAATTGCACCGACAGCATCCACTATTTTATGAGTCACATCCTAAAGAGCCGAGGGAAAGCCACTGTAAGTGCATGTGCACATTCACACATACATACATATACATATCCATTAACTTCTGTAGTTTTCTGACGTGAGATATTTTACAAGAGACCCTGCTCAATTTTACAGAATGTTAGGAGTTGGGAACCTGTCATAGACTAGCTTCTGTGACCCTCATGTTCAAGCTGATGACAATGAAACTCAGTTTTGGCATGCCTTACCTGAAGGTCTCTTTGGTCTTTTTTATTTTCCAGACTAGGGTTTTTCATAATAAACTCATTCAGGACCCTAAAAAGGCCACCAAAACAACACAGAAACAAAAATTATTAGTGTAAAGAACATGACCCAATCTGGTTTCTCACAGTAAGTGGCTCTGCGATCTCAATTTGGTTTCAATATTTATTGAATACACATTCATACTCCATGACTGAACCGAACTACCTAAACATGCACTAAAAGACACGTACAATGATCACAGCAACAATACTGGTAAGTTTCCAGTATATTTAAAAATGCTCAATCTGTGTACACACATATTGAGAAGAAAAGAAGATGAAGAAACAGTACAATCTCATAGGAAAAAAGCTACAAATCACAATAGATGGTTTCAATTTTTAATCAAATTAACCATGGTTATCTGGTGATTCAAAGAAAAAAAAAATATATATATATGTATATATATGCTCCCTGCGTAAGTCTTACAACTCTGAGCTAGACAGGCATATAGGACTCCTGTTTGACAGACTGGAAAAGTGCTGGGAGAGGTTTATGCAGTGCAAGTCACAGCAGTGAGGGCTGGGAGCTTGGTGCGGTGGCTCATGCCTATAACCCTAGCACCCGGGGAGGCTGAGCCACCAGGATCCCAAGTTTCAAAGTTTGAAACTTGGGCAGAGAGGCGGAGAGAGAGGCAGAGAGAGAGACAGAGGGAGAGAGAGGGAGGGAGAGGGAGGGAGAGGGAGAGGGAGA